AGTTCCTCACTCAAAGCAAAGAAGAGAACATTTTGCTCAGAGTTTTAGTGTTAAGTAGGCCTTTCCCCACCTTTGACCTGATGGACAGATGTAGTGCATTTGGATTCCACACGATAGTCTTGTTTAACTTAACTTCAACAATATTGTGAGACAGAAAGGGGAGAGATGTGATTTTTGTCTCGAAGCCTCAAAATAGACTATGGAGCAATACAAGGCTCTCAGGCTCCGAAGTTAAAGATAAAGTTGTTTCTATTCAGTGATGGGCTGCAGGCATCATTGGCAAGGCCAACATTTTTATTGTTCCTTGCTAATTCCACTTGAGAAGGAGATGATGAGCTGTGTAGTCTAGGTATACCCACAGCACCAATAAGGAGCAATTTATTTTTAGGAAAGAAGGGAATGGCCTGACTAATTAATATTTCAATAAAGTTAAATGTGAAAATTTCAACCACATTCTTAATCTGTAGTTGTTACTGTACTACCAGACATTAAAAGTAATGATTAATGCTGGAGTTAGATAATTGTGGGAACTGGTGACTCTTTCACACTGTCAGCTTGCTCCAGCTTCTTAATCCATTACAAGTATCTGCTCACTTTGGCTAATCAATTTTGTTTTATAAAAACTCTCTACCAAGATCCTAGTGCAAAAAAGTCCTAACCACAAAATTGATGACCATTCAGCTCACTGAGTTCATTTATTTGTGGGATAATACACCTCAGCATTTAATTCCAAGTTTCTGCTATCCCACTCCAGGTTTCAATCACTCTGAGGAAAGACATACTTAAACCTTGAGATTAGTCCATGAACTCAAGATCCCTTTCCCTGGGCATTATCTGGGGACTCACAGAGAAAGAGGACTCCCTCAAATTTGTCTGGCACCTAGTTGTGCCTATACCCCATTGTCTATTTTCCATGATCTTTGATGTAATTCACCATTATACTTAAAAAAGAAACTCCATTCTTGACAGAATTCTTCTTCTATTGGTAAGAACTTTGCTGAGATAACCAGCAATTATTCCTTCTGAATTCAGCTACCATCCATACAAGGGTCAAACACCACCACCTCCTCCAGGGCAGTTAGGGATTGGCAGTAAATGCTGGTCTAACCAGCAACACAAATTATTGTAGAATATCTTTTAAAAAGTTAAGCCAAAAGTTTTCCCTAAGATTCTCCCACTTTCCCCGTTTAACTTCAACAAAAGCGTAGAGAAAACCTGTGGTGTGTGCAAACCAGCTTTGTGTCAGTCAAATCAAAAAAAAAAGGTTATGGCAGCGCAGGAATGGCTCGGAGGAAGTTCCCAAACTTAGACCATTGTTTATGCAAACTCAATCCAATCTTGCCCCAATCACACTTCAATAAAATAGTTAAACCAATCAAAACCTCAGTTAAAAGTAATAGCTTCTAAAATGTCTACATACTACTAGTGCCAAACACAATACAAAAGTCACCACAGTGTTACTCATTACAGAGAAAGAGGTGGCTGATGGTGGTTTTACCAGAGGGTCACCACACCTCAAGCAAGGGGGTGGGGGGAAAAGAGGTTGAGAAGGAGACCCTTCCCTGTAACCTCAGCTGGTGTGAGAATTGAATCCATATCGTCGACATCACTCAGCATCACAAACCAGCTATGTGGCCAACGGGGAGACACACATACACACAGTATTCCATGGACATGCCTGATAATTGTTCAATTTTCATTCATCTTTCACACCATATTTCCAAATCTCAAGAACTCATACCAAGTAACTTTGCAGGAGATTTAAGACCAGACTGATACCAGAGCCAGAAGAGTTTAGTTGTGCGGAAGATGAGAACGTGCGTGATTGTTCCCCTTACAGCACAGATGGTGTGTGGGAAAAGTTAACACAGGTTCAAGCTAATGAATAAATAATGAAAAATTATTCCCATGTCAGACGGGTTAGAAACAAGAGGATACTGATTGAAGATACTTGACAAAAGAGGCAAGGTGAGGTCTGTAAGGAAGGGCAATGGAAGCAAATTCAATAACTTTTGAAAAAAAGGGAAAAATTTTAAAAAGTCAGAATTGAGGGGGAAAACAGCAGGTATTGGAGAGGTTGAGGAGTGACAGATGACATCAGCTTCTTTAAAGAGCCAGTACTGACTCAGAAGGCTGAAGGGCCTTTTATGCAGTGACATTCCATGATTGTAATCTTTGTATAAAAGAATATCTACACGAGTACCCCTAGAGAAACCAGCTAATGGGCCCTAACGAGGACATCGTAGCATTGTAACCTAGGTTTATATCGTTCCCTGGTTTCAGGAAAGCATCCACAAGCGGATATCACTTCTTCCAGCATAGGGTCCAATGTCCCTTGGGTTCTGCAATAATTTTAAGGGATACACAAAATCTGATCCAGAAATCTACAGCAAAACAGTTCCAACCAGATGTCATCCTGATGTGCTGAGTCAGTCACTGAGGCCAGGTGATCAGTGCGGCTACAGGTGGGAATTTTGATCCTCACATTTTTAATCCAAACCATTTTTCCTCCCATCAACCCAGAGGAAATCAGATGTTCCAGCCTAATATGACAACAATGCCAAAGTACATAGAACAAGAGATGGAACAGTGATTCCACAGGCAATCTATCAGGGACAGTGCAGTTAAACAAGAGAGCGCTAACACTTTGCAATGAAGTGCTCGCAAAACAAATCAGACTCCAATCTTCAGGAGAGGGGAATCCAAACCAGGGAATTCCTGGTTTCCACAGACAGGGGGCAGCTTTCTTTTTCAGACTCACACTCACATTTCGTCTGAACTTCTGTCTCAGATGTTGGTTAACTATTTCACCCCATAACTACTTTTGCTTTATTACATGTGCATCACTGGCAAGGCCAGCATTTGTTCGATTTACCTTTGAACTGAAATGCTTCCTCAGCTATTTCAGAGGCAGTTAAAAAAGTCAACCACATTGCTATGTGTCTGGAGTCACATGTAGACCTGACTGAGTAAGAATGGCCGATTTCCCTTCCCTGAAAGGCATTAGCAAACCTGATCAGTTTTTAAGACAATTGTCAATAGTTTCATGTCCATAATGGTTGAGACAAGTTTTCAATTCCAGAATCATTAATTGATTTTAAAAGTGCGAGGCGAGATTTGAAACCACAATTCTGGGGCATTAGCCTTGGCTTCTGGATTACTGGGTGATCCAGTTTGTATTTGGGACTGGATCTCTGCAGGTCTTTTCCCACCATGGTTAGTGAATTTGAACGATAAATCAACAAGTATGAAAAATGGTCTATCAGATTATTTTTACTTGTTTTAAGTCAACCCTGTCCCAATGTTTACTCATTTTAGTTAGATATCCACACATCTTAAAACTTGCTAAGCCCACCGAGCAACAATTTTATGTTAAATTTATCATAAATTCACAATTGCCCAACTGTTGTGCAGAACCATACACATTTTATCTAGCAGGCTGGGGAAATTGGTGGAATTTACGTAAGAAGAGGAAACATGGAGGACCCCAGGTTTGAACCCAGGGACAGGGCTCCTCAAAGATAAATCATATTTTTGAAATAAAAACAAGAGCTCCGAGTCCCAGGGCTAAATATTGCAGCACTGCATCGAATGGTGTAAATCCTTCCAGCTCTCAGTTCAACTTAAAAATCTTATTCTCATTCAGCTGCCTGTTGTGGCAAAGATACAGCAATAACGGCCATCACGGATTGCTATGGAAAAGCTGAAGGTGAGACACATTCTTTGATGCAGTTCAGGGGTTTACTAGGCCACAGTTCGAGTCCAGCACTTGGCTGTGGGTTTGGAAATGTAGACCAAACCAGGGAAGGACTAAATGCCCCCAAAAAGGACATTTCGTCTCCTGTTAAACAACATCCAGTTGATGTAACCAACTGAAATTTAAAAATTCCCTTAGAAGGGAATTCTAGTCTCCAGCTCGCTGGTTCACACTCTGGGGATGACCCTTTTATCCCGCTCCCAGACAGAAACTGGACTCCTTAATGAGAAGCAATGCCCATTGTCAGAACACAGAACATTACAGCGCAGTACAGGCCCTTCGGACCTCGATGTTGTGCCGACCTGTGAAACCAATCTGAAGCCCATCTAACCTAAACTATTCCATTATAATCCATATGTTTATCCAATGACCACTTAAATGCCCTTAAAGTTGGCGAGTCTACTATTTTTGCAGGCAGGGCATTCCACGCCCTTACTACTCTCTGAGTAAAGAACCTACCTCTGACATCTGTCCTATATCTATCACCCCTCAATTTAAAGCTATGTCCCCTCGTGCTAGCCATCACCATCCGAGGTAAAAGGCTCCCACTATCCACCCTATCTAATCCTCTGATCATCTTGTATGTCTCTACTAAGTCACAAACTGGAATCTAATTATATCAATGCATTCTCCCATCAGGACCCATTCGCTGTTCAGGATCTCTGCCCAGACATAGACTACATCCACAGGGAGAACACCAGACTCTGGTTTGATTACAGAGCAAACAGGTATAGCTCAAAGTTGCGCTGGCTCAGAAATACAGTGCACTGGCTGACGGTCTTCCCATATTCACTGCATGTAGCACGTTTAAATCCACACTGCCCTTCAGCTCATATATAAATTCAAATACACCCGAACCAGCAACATGATTAAAGCCTGACACAAACCAGGAGCAAAAAGACTTGAAATACAACACGTACATCAAGGAAGGTTCAGACACTTCCTTCGCCAGTTTGATCTGAATTTTCTACACACGCACTCAACCGAGCTTTGAAATCAACGCGAAAAAAAAAACCTTAGAAGAGAACTTGCCGAGAAATTGCAAGGAAAGGACCCAACAGCACTACTTTTTAAAAATAGATAGCGGTAGACCCTTTCTACAAAAAGGATCTGAGATTTCACAGGAGGAGGAAGCAGACTGCTGAGGATCTTACAGTCTTTTCTAACGCAATACAGACTGAGCCCCGGGTATACTTCAGAGAATTGCTCGTTATCCAGACTTTGTGAGATAGATAATTTTTACCTGCACTTCTACCGCACAAAGCGCACAGCAACACAACACATAGCAAACGGTTCATCTCCTGGATCTGGTAAACTCACTCCCTCACTGCACTCTTGGTCTGGAACTCTTGCCCTGTTCCAACTTCTGCTCGATCTAATCCCCTCTGACCCAGCGTGGTTCAATCAAGCCCTTTTGACGCGCCAATTCACCTGCTGATTGTGGTCAAACGAGTCGAACCTGCTCAGAAAGACTTGTGTCTTCCCTAAAAGGTGTGGTTTAGTCGCAATTAACCAAAACAAAATGTCACACACCACCTGAAAACCAGAGCAACTCAAACTTTAGGCACCTAATCTACGTCAAATTAACTCCACTATCCCTGTCCCAGTGCACTTTAGCAGTTTCAGGAATTCTTGGGAATATTACTGCAATGATTTACCATCCCACCAATTTGCAGCTGGTGACTTCAGGTTCAGTCTGGTCACTGGCTGTGAAAGGGAAATAAACATTACTGTCACAGAAATCAGCTGTGATGTTATTAATAACACAGGTCTATGTCCAACGTGGCAAGTTAAGCTTTTCTAAAGGAAGCAAGTCTGGGCTTAGGTTGTGGTTTTAAAAGATCCGTGTCAATGAAAAGGGATTTGTGATATTGCCAGACTTGATATTTAGAACCTTACAGTCTCTTGTCCTTTCCTCCTGAATGATTTTCTGTGCATTTTGAACAATAACCATTCCACTAGGAATGCTGGAAAACAGCTAAACCACCCAGCTCCACCTGGAGCCCTCCCTCTGGCTTTTTACCTGCACTCGGCCTGTTCATTGAGTGACATGGGTCACCTTAATTTCTCTGCCCCCTCCCCCATACCCAATCGAACATAAGGGGGAGGTAACAAGGTGTGGAGCTGGGTGAACACAGCAGGTCAGGCAGCATCAGAGGACCAGGAAAGCTGACGTCTCGGGTCTGGACCCTTCTTTAGAAAAGGGGGAGGTGATGGCCTAGTCGTATTATTGTCAATCCAGAGACCCAGGTAATGTCCTAAGGATCAGGGTTTGAATCTTGCTGTTGCAGATGGTAGCATTTGAATTCAATTTTTAAAAAAACTGGAATGACCAACGATGTCCATGAATCCAGTGTCAATTGTTGGAAAATTCATCTGGTTCACTAATGTCTTTTAGGGAGCGGAAACTGCCATCCTTACCTGGTCCGGCCTATATGTGACTCCAGACCCACAGCAATGTAGTTGACTCTTAACTCCCCTCTGGGATGGGTAATAAATGCTGGCCGAGCCAGTGACACCCTCGTCCATGAATGAATTTATAAAAATCCTATCTCCCTCAGAACTGACTGCAATCTGTGCTCTCAGCTCCAATGCTGACTCTGTATTCTAGCCTTCTGACAAGGGTGGTGCTGTTGCTGTCTGGCACACCAACCTCTATATTGCAGAGGCTGAGTACCAGCTCTCAGACATCTCTACCTATCTCCCCCTGGAGCATGAACCCACCATTGGACATCAGGTTATTGTATCCATTATGGTCGCTAATTGCATCTTATCTGGGGATCTCCAACTCTCAGTCCCCCCAGCCCCATGTATCCCACCTCTACCTTCTCCCCAAAATCCACAAACAGCATTGCTTGACCAGACCCACTGTTTCTGCCTGATTCTGCCCCAAGGAACTATTTCTTCCTGCCTTTGTCTTGATGTGCATCTGCAATTCTTCTGATGCTTTACATCAGTTTCAGAATTTCCAGTTCGCAGGCACCAGCTGCCCCCTTTTCACCATGGGCATGCAATCCCTTTACATGTTCATTCCCCCATCAGGATGGTCTCAGGGATCTCCGCTTCTTCCGGGAAAGAAGGCCTGAACTGTCCCCATCCCCCACCACCATCCTCATCTGCCTGGCTGAGCCTGCCCTCACTTTGAACGTCTCCTTTAACTCTTCTCACTCTCTTCAGTGAAAACGTAGGGCCATTGATACCCACATGGGCCTCAATTAAGTCTGTCTCTTTGTGGGTTACTTGGAACAATCCTTGTTCCAATCTTACTCTGGTCCGTCCCTGGAACTTTCCCTCCAGTGTACTAATGACATAATTGGTACTGCTTCCCGCTCTCAGTTGGAACTAGAAAAAATTATCAATGTTGCTTCCTATTCCCACCCTGTTCTCACCTTCACCTGGTCCATCTCTGACTCTTCCGTTCCTCGACATCTCTATATCCATTTCTGGGGATGGCCAGCCGTAACCACTACAAACTCACCAACTCCCAACACATCCTCCCAACCTGCATCCTGTAAGGACTCTATTCCATTCTCCCTCTTACTCCATCGGATCTGTTTTGATGATGCCACCTGCCACTGTGGGTTGGGAAGTGGGGGTGGTGCTCGGAAATGTCTACCATTTTCCTCAATCAAAGATTCCCCACTACCAAAGTTGACAGGGTCCTTAGCCATATCTAACCCATCTCCTGCACTTTGCTCTCATCCTTTCCCTTCCCTTCCACAATATAATAAGGTCCTCCTGCTTGTCAATCTCCACCCCCTAGCCTCTGCATCCAGGGGATTGTAAGCTTTTTCTGTCATCTCCAGCGGGATACCAACACCTGATACATATTCCCCTCCATCTTTCATGCGGCACCTTGTCAAACATCTTCTTGGAATTGACATACACTACATCTACACATTTCCCTTAATCCATTTTTCTTGTTAATTTCTCAAATAACTTCAGGGAATCAGTCAACCACAATTTCCCTTTCATAGAACCATGGTTGCATTGAGATTTTTTTATATGACCTGTTATAACCTCCTTAATAACAAAAAATAACATGATGGTAGTTAAGCTAACTGGCCTGTAGTTTCCTGCTTTCAGCCTCCCTTCCCCTTCTCAAAGTTTTACATTTGCTCTTTTCCCATCTAATGGAACTTTTCTAGATGTAGGAATTGCAATGAAAATATTTTTAATACTGAAGTCCATCATAACCTGGGGACTTGTCAGTTTTTAGTTCTAACAATTTCCTTGTCATCTTTTCCCTGGTGAATGTATTGTTGTTCCCTCTCTTTGAACTCCTTATTTGCAATTATTTTTGGGACCTTATTTGTATCATCTGCAGTGATGATAGACTCCACTGCTTTAAAATTTATTCATTTGTGGAATGTGGGTGTCACTGGCTGGCCAGCATTTCTTGCTCGTCCCTAGTTGCCCTTGAGAAGGTGGTGGTGAGCTGCCTTCTTGAACCGCTACAGTCCTCCTGCTGCAGGTTGACCCACAATGCCCTTAGGGAGGGAATTCCAGGATTTTGACCCAGCGACAGTGAAGCAACGGCAATATAGTTCCAAGTGAGGATGGTGAGTGGCTTGGAGGGGAATTTGGAGGTGGTGGTGTTCCCATGTATCTGCTGCCCTTGTCCTTCTAGATGCAAGTGGTCGTGGATTTGGAAGGTGCTGTTGGAGGATCTTTGGTGAATTTCTGCGGTGCATTTTGTAGCGATTGAGCATCAGCGGTGGAGGGAGTGGATGCTTGTGGATGTGGTGCCAATCAAGCGGGCCGCTTTGTCCTGGATGGTGTCAAGCTTCTTGAGTGTTGTTGGGGCTGCACTCATCCAGGCAAGTGGGGAGTGTTCCATCACACTCCTGACTTGTGCCTTGTAGATGGTGGACAGGCTTTGGGGAGTCAGGAGGTGAGTTACTTTCTGCAGTATTCCTAGCCTCTGGCCTGCTCTTGTAGCCACTGTGTTTATGTGATGAGGCCAGTTGAGTTTCTGGTCAATGATAATCCCCGGGATGTTGATGGTGGGGGTTTCAGTGATGGTAACACCATTGAATGGCAACGGGGCAGTGATTAGATTGCCTATTATTGGTCATGGTCACAGCCTGGCATTTGTGTGGCGCAAATGTCACTTGCCACTTGTCAGCCCAAGCCTGGATATTGTCCAGATCTTGTTGCATTTGGACATGGACTGCTTCAGTATTCGAGAGTTGCGAATGGTGCTGAACATTGTGCAACCATCGGCGAACATCCCCACTTCTGACCTTATGATGGAAGAAGGTCATTGATGAAGCAGCTGATGATGGTTGGGCCTAGGACACCACCCTGAGGTACTCCTGCAGAGATGTCTTGGAGCTGGGATGACTGACCTCCCACAACAACAACCATCTTCCTGTGTGGCAGGTATGACTCCAACCACTGCAGAGTTTTCCCCGATACCCATTGATTCCAGTTTTGCTAGGGCTCCTTGATGCCACACTCTGGTCAAATGAGCCTTGATATCAAGGGCTGTCACTCTCGCCTCACCTCTGGAATTCAGCTCTTTTGTCCATGTTTGAACCAAGTCTGTGCTGAGGTCAGGAGCTGAGTGGCCCTGGCGGAACCCAAACTGGGTGTCACTGACCAGGTTATTGCTGAGCAGTGCTGCTTGATAGCACTGTTGATGGGACCTTCCATCACTTTACTGATAAGACTGATGAGGTGGTATTTGGCCAGGTTGGATCTGTCCTGCTTTTTGTGAACAGGATATACCTGGGCAATTTTCCACATTGCCGGGTAGATACCAGTGTCGTAACTGTACTGGAACAGCTTGGCTAGGGGAGTGGCAAGTTCTGAGCACAAGTCTTCAGTATTTTGCCAGAATGTTGTCAGGGCCCGTAGCCTTTGCAGTATCCAGTGTCTCCAACCGTTTCTTGATATCACATGGAGTGAATTGAATTGGCTGAAGACTGGTATCTGTAATGCTGGAACCACTGGAGGGGGCCAAGATGAATCATCCACTCGGCACTTCTGGCTGAAGATTGCTGCGAATGCTTCAGCCTTATTTTTTGCACTGATGTGTTGGGCTCTTCCATCATTTGAGGATGGGGATATTTGTGGAGCCTCCTCCTCCAGTGAGTTGTTTAATTGTCCACCACCGTTCACAACTGGATGTGGCAGGACTGCAGAGCTTAGATCTGATCTGTTGGTTGTGGGATTATGCAAGTAGTCCTGTTGGGGGCTTCACCAAGTTGACACGTCATCTTTAGGTATGCCTGGTGCTGCCCCTGGCATGCCCTCCTGCACTCTCCGTTGAACCAGGGTTGAATACCTGGCTCGATGGTAATAGTTGAGTGGGAGATATGCCAAGCCATGAGATTACGGATTGTACTGGAGTATAATTCTGCTGCTGTTGATGGCTCACAATGCCATATGGCAAGTTGCTAGATTTGTTCAGAATCTGTCTCCG